TATTTCAGCTATTGGGCCTCTTGCCTTTCTGTAGAAAGTTGAGGATTGATGTTCTGTTTTTTGGTGGAATTTTGATCAGGATTACATTGACTCTACAGATCACTTTGGGTAGTATTGATATCGTCATAATATTAAGTCTTTCAGTCTGTGAACATGGAGCATCTTTCCAGTAAAGTCTTCTATATTCTCTTTCAGCAGTGTTTTGCAGTTTTCATTGAATAGGTCCTTCACATCTCTGGTTAGATTTATTCATAGGTATTTTATTCTCATATGTGCTATTATAAGTAAAATAATTTTCCTAATTTCCCTTTCAGATTTCTCTTTGCTAGTGTATAAATACCCAACTAATTTTTGTTTGTTGACGTTGTATCCTAACTAGAGAGGTTTTCTTGTGGGCTTTTTGAGATTTTTGATGTATCAAATCATATCATCTGCACATAGAGATAATTTTGCTTCTTTCCCAATCTGCATGCCTTTGTTTCTTTTTTCTTGTCTTATTGCTCTGGCTAGGTCTTCTAATATAGTACTGAATAGATGTGTGGTGAGGATGAGCACCCCTGTCTTATTCTTGATTTCAAGGAGAAAGTGTTAAGTTTAATGCTGGCTGTTGGATTTTCATATGCCCTGAATCATATTGAGAAATTTTCCTTCTATTCCAATTTATTTCCAACAGGAAAGGATGTTGGATTTTATCAAATACTTTTTCTGTATCCATTGACTTGATCACGTAGGTTTTTTCTCCTCTGTTCTATTATGTGCTATAGTTCTCTGATTGTTTTCTAATGGTGGACATCCCTGCATTCTTGGAATAAATCCTACTTGGTCGTGGTGTCTGACTCTTAATATGTTGTATTTTGCTCACTAGTATTTTGTTGAGAATTTTCACATTTGTATTCATGAGAGATACTGGCCTGTAGTATTCTTTTGTGTGTGATGAGCACAAGTATCTCTTAGTTTAGCAGTGATCGGAATAAATTCCGACAATACACAGAACCGGTGGGGATTAGTTCCAGTATAAATCTTGAAAAGCTACCTTTCTTTTCCTTCCATGCTATCACCCTTTCCTAGCGTCGTTTTTGCTTTTTTGGCTACTCCTCAGTTCCCTTTTTTGTCTTGTTTTCCTCTGCTGGTTTCTAGCTGGGGCTGTTCCCAGGATCTGTTGCTGATCCCTTCATCTGCTCATTCTGTACACTTCCTCCTCATCTCTTAGCCAGTTTGATCCCTACTGAATGTCTCACAAGCTTTTCAAATTCAGCTTTCTTGTAGGTGAATTTATCTGCTTCCCTTCCAGACTTTCTCCTTCTCTGGTTCCCAGTTTCAAGGATGGCACCATCATTCACTCCGCTGTATGTGTTGAAGTCTTCCTGTCCCTTTCTCCCATAGAGGATCATCAAGTGCTAGAGGTCTTTCTTCACTTATGAGCTCTTAAAATTGTCCACAATTTTCATTTTCATGTCTTAGCTAATACTCATAATTTTTAGTTAAATTGTCACAAGTATTCTACCAATCTCCTTGTGTTCTTTTACTCTACTTTTAACAGTACTCCAAAATGATTTTTCTGTAGAGCCTATAGTTCACTCCTTGCTTTAGAATCCATCATGGTTTTCCCTTTACCCTCAGTTTTTTTTAGCATGGTTGTCTTTCTAAACCTGTCTCTGTCTGGCTTTTTTGGCCACTTCAGCTTGTCTTCTACCCTCTGCCAGCATGGGGTTTGAGAATGTTTACTCTAGAAAGCCTTCCCTGGTCCTCGAAAACAATCAGAAACTTCTCCTCTGGATAGTTACAGCACCCCTGGCTTCATTCATCATAGTAGAAAGATAGAACTTAATTTTTGTTTATCAGATGCTAGAGTTGCTAGCATCTGCAGTTGTACTTGGAAATCTTTTCATATCCTTCTAGAATCCTATTTGATTCTAGATAGGGGTTGGTGGTAGTAGTTATGTGCCACTGAGTCAATAGAGACCCTGTGTAGAGTTTCTGAGGCTGTAAATCTTTACGGGAGCAGAAAGCCTCATCTTTTTCCTGAGGAGCCACTGGTAGGTTCGAACTGCTGACTTTGCAGTTAGCTGCCCAGCCCGTAATCCACTATGCCACCAGGGGTCAGCATAGTTTTATTTTAGGCTTTGCAGGACAACTGTCTTTTGTCACACACACTTTTTTTTTAAAAAAACATTTTATTGGGAGTTATGTGATAGTTTACATGGGAGAACATTAGTTTTACATTTATCCTATCATATATTGTTTCACTGTCATGGTTACAATCCCCTCCATGCATCATCAGCCGACCAAAGGGTATACCCTGCAAGCCTGCCCCCTGGTTGTCAGCATGCAGCCCCTCTCCCTCTCTGGGTCTAAAGTCTCCAGCCGCTCCATCTCTCCACATCATCGTGTCTGCCTCCACACTGCTTTTTTTTATGTTTTTGCAACCATTGTCACTATTTATGAGGGGGCTTCAAAAAATTTGTGGACAAATAGAATGAAAAGATCATTAAAATTTTCTGTAAACTTGTTAAAGGTCTTGTATTTCCAGATTTTTTTTAGCACTTCAAACTCTGTACCCATTAAGAATTAATCTCCTTTTTCTGTTATTAAATGAAAAATTCATTTTCAGCTCAAGAGCTGTACAAAAACAAGTTGTGTGTTGGATTTAGCCCATAGACCATAGTTTGCCAATTTTAAATCTAGAGTAACTAATCATAGCAAGATTTGATGTTTTTGTTTTAAATTCTGAATTCTTAATATCCCAGGTGTCTTATATGAGGATAACTCAAAAAGTATTGCTACAAAAAAATTATAGGAACCTTTTGATTAAACAAAAATACAGAAATGTGAAACCATTATTTCTTACCATATTATTCATGTAGGTCTAAGCAGGACCCCTGGTATGGTACTGTAGGGTAAGTGCTGGACTACTGACGGCAAGGTTGGAAGTTCAAACACATCAGCCTCTCCATGGGACAAAGATGAGGTTTTCTGCTTCTGCAAAGATTTACAGCTTGATCCTGAACCCCATCCAGAATCTTCTGAGGTGGCAAATTTCCACTTGAGAGGATAAGCAGACCAGCCTGGAGAGGCTAGAAGAACAGAAGATACTTCTTGAAAGAAAGACAAAACAGTATTGACAGTCTAACTGAACAAGAAAAAGCAAGTTGCTCGTCCAGGAGACATCAAGGCAAGTGGTCGGGTCCCCTCAGGGCAAACCCCCTTCCAAGACTAAGACTCAATGGGAATACACGCTGTGATTGGTGACCACGTTAGTCACTGATAAGTAGAAGTGAGGGAAAAACACCTATGAAGCTGCGAGCTAAGCCCTATAACGTTCAATAGACTACTATGAACCTGGTTAGCCAGCAGTGTGGCAAGACCTGGGGACTCTTGGGCCCAGAGTCAGTGGCATAGCCACAGAGGACTAGTGTGGAGAGTGAAGCACCCAGCTGATAAGAAAAGAGGGGATATGCATAAGAACACCTACTTGACCTGGCTTCAATGACTGGATGATCAGAGCTCAACTA